CAGTTATGACGAAATCAGTCACGATGTTATAGCTGGAAATAATGGTTCCTGTGTGCTATGGCGGCCCAGAATATTGGTGTGAACCATTGATAGGATTGCCGTATCACCTGCTATTTCCGAGAAGGAATGAAAATGTCCATGTCGGCTTTGACCTTAAAATGCTTTCTTCCAATCTTGAAATACAGAGGAACTTATCAATGGTGTTTGGAGAAAAATTATGACTCCCCTCGTCTTTCGTCAGCCAAGTACTTTATCTTCAGAAAGGATGGGTGAGCGAGGGGTGGGTAGAGGTGTAAACGGGCCGATATCGTTCAATAGCTATTGGTGGTACCACCAGGCTGAAAGGGAGCAGGGTCCCCCTTTTTTGCGTTCTTCCGAGGAATTAATAGTCATTCTCCAGTCACCAAAACTTACAAGTCTCCACGTAAGGCAATTATATATATATATATATATATATATATATATATATATATATATATATAATACTCATAGGGACAGATATTATTTTAATTCAGAATAATGAGATTATACTGTCCAATTCTACAGTTAGTAGGAGAGAGCGATTTTTGTTTCATGAAGTTATTGATTTCAAACCTCGTACTTTTTTCGTTTAATTCAAAAAAACTGGAACTTTTTCGTAAACTTGATATATTGTCCTTTTTATGATAGTGGAGTTTTAGTCATTTATTTATTTAATTAGAAAAACAAACATTTTGTTTCTTCAAATATAACACATTTTGTTTCTTCAAATATAACACATTTACAGACTAAATAACGACTGCAAATAAGTGCAAATCAAACTATATGATTTCTTTATATGCCATATCACTTCAGAAATGTGCAATCATGGCTCTCCACAACTTACACAAGGTAGGTTATTTGCCGTTTTCCTCTGTCAGTCTTATCGTCATTATGCTCGTTGAGGGTTAAAGATTGTGCTTCGCTTCATTTCGACGATTCGGATCGAACCTGCCACTAGTATTCCGCCACTCAACACCTGAATTCTAGTTAATTTTAACCAACATTTGAAATTAACATTTTCCTTCTCAACAAAATCCAAAGCTTTTATAATGCTATCGGTACAGACAAAACATTTCGACATTATTCATTTTCCCATCGCCGTGACGTGGCTTCCCTCGGTCTTTTCTATAAATATTTTCATGCTAATTGTTCTAATGCGCTCTCTTCCTTGGTGGCGTCCACTTAACCGATGTTTCTGGCACATTTAGAGATTGTGGGATATTTTATTACTAACTTTATTTTTTTTAGTTTCTTGTAAATAGTTTTTTCGCATAGTAAATACTCATTGAGGCTAGTTTTAAATTTTCTTTTATTCCCTCCTCCACAGACAATGAATTGTACATATGGGAACTAGTTAGAATTTTCATAGAGACAATGAGGTATTATGGTGAATGTGTTATGTAAGAATGTGTTGTTTTGGTGAAAGGAATATTGTGGTATGATTGAGTCAGTGTTTTTGAGGCTAGGTAAATTTAAAGTTAAGACAGATGAAGACCATATTCTTCCCCATCCCCCATTTGGCCTTGTGCCACATTTCGTAAATAATTACAAATAAATATCGGTATCCGCCATGATTGTTTTAATCCCCACCCACACAGATATTGAATTGTGCATATAGGTACTATTTAGGACTTCCATGGTGATCTTGTGCTATTATGGTTGATGTAGTAAGAAAGTTAAGTAGGAATGCATTGTTTTGGTTTAAGGAATATTGTGGTATGCTTGGGTCAGTGTTTGTGGCTAGCTAAGTTTAAAGTTAAGACAGAAAACCATCCTTTTCTCCATTTCCTATCGAACTCCTCCTTGGTGTATCGACTGCATGACTTCAAGCGTACTACTAGATTGGCAACTAGGTCCCATCGTCTTATTGTTGAAATAACTACATATAACTTAAGTTTTGTTCTAATGGTTTCTTTTCTCGCAAGTGGTACTCTCTTCGGATTTCTTGATTCCCTGTCATCTCCCTTCTTCAAATATTGGAATGCAACGTCACTCTCCGCCTTCTCTCTTCATGAATACTGTTCTTTTATTTTATTTTCTCCTCAGTAAATGCTTCTCAGTCGTTTTCCCTCAAAGTAACCTCTGGCATCTTAATTAAAATATTGCCTTGCTTGGGGTGAAATGATTTTACAAAATGAGTATTGTGAAGCTTTATCACGAAGCTTTACTTTGGAATCATAAGAGAGAAATTTATATAAACGAATAGTAGGATTCTAATTCTTCCAAGCCATCCTTAATGTCGTGAGTTCGATCCTTTGCGAATGCTTATTAACATAATCGATATATATTCCTGTAATCATTGGTCAATACATGTACTGTACCGTAGCAGCAGTGATGCTTTCGGGACAAAGTAATATGAAGTAGCTTATACCTCTTCTGCCTGGTTAAAAATTCAATGTTTCTCCTAGGCTGGCTGCCAACCAAGACAAGAATGCTCAGTTTGCCTTGCTATACTGAAGAAAATTGGTTTGTTATTTTTCAATGCATTAAGTCAATGTGAACGAAATAGAATCGACCGGAGTGTGTTATTATCGGCTCGTAGAGTTCAATTTTCCCGCTGACAACCGTTATACCACGTTAGGTGTAGAACACGATAAGTTTGTCCGCATGTCGAAGATAGTCAACGCAGTGAAGAAATAGATCCGGGGTTTCTGGATGCGTAATGCAGTTAATAGGTGTGATAATCATAAAGAATGGCAAACATGTGTTCAAAATGTTTACTCAAGGTTCGGTTCCAGACACTCATCTCAGCAGCTGTGTTTTTCCTGCTTTCGGAATGTCAATCCATTATATGAAAAGAAGGCTTCAATATGTTACTCGAAATTATCCTATAAATTTTATAGACCACTAAACTCGCTTCTAGATTTTCACTAATTGTCCTACATTTACGACTGTATTTTTTTACGATTTTATTTGTTTTATGTCTCTAAATCCTTGCCAATAATGTCAATTGGTTTTCTTCCTTTTCACTTTTGACATCACTCAGCGTAAAATAATATATTGTCTCAATCCCTGATTATAACACTTTTATCCGAAACGTTTGTATTTACCAGTATTAACAACGGGGTTGTTGGTCCAATGTCAAAATACTCTTTTTCTCCTTTTAATTACAGACTGAAACATTTCCAAACACCATTATCTAAAAAAGAAAAAGGAATAAAATAAATCAATAAGCAGAAGAAAAAAAAAAGAAGTATACAGAAGCAAAGTGACTACAATAAGGACGTAAAGATGGAAAGGCTCTGTGTTTGTGAGGTACAAATATTTGCAGAAAACGTGGAATCACGTGAAAGTGTCATCTTTGTGAAAAGAGAATAATCGAAGCTGACTAAAAGATACAGTAGGGAATCTCAATACAGAAGCCCAGCCTATCATACTCGCTTAGGATCCTGACATCCAGTTCTGGTCAGTGGGAGTGATCGCATCGTCATCCCATTCGCCATACTTGAAAATTTTGTCGTTGACCACGCTTCACTGGTCAACTACAAAGGACACACTGATATCTCTCTAATTCTCTCCATTTCCATCGGTCTTCTGAGTCCTTCCTCAAATGGCTTAATGTCCATGAGTCTCCCTTGCTGCCTTTCTACTTCGCTTTTATAATTCATCCCTGTTTTGTCCGATCCTTGCATTTCCCCATCTGCTTCATTTCCAACGATTCTGTTTCTTCTCAACTCGATTTACCTATCTGCTTATATTTAGAATGGCACAAGGCTCAATATTTGGAATGAAGATAGTGTTGCGCCAATTTCCGAGTTAGAAAACGAGCACCTCCCTTCAAAATCATTATTAAATATATGTGCTTATACGAATTCTATTATGACCGCTAACAAAGACAGACCAAAATGTCCACGAAATTGCAGGGTTCTCTCTATTTTTCTTTCTTTTTTCTACATACACTTTTCTAACATCATATATATATATATATTTCACCATCCTTACATATATACACACACTTTCTGTGATGTATAGCACAGACACACACACATACACACACACACACATATATATATATATATATATATATATATATATATATATATATATAATGACAGTAAGGGGAAATATCCTGTGGTATTAATTTAAAAGCAATATCCTGGAAACTTGCACGGCAAACTATTCTGCCTTCTCTATCGTTTTCTTTTCTTTTCTCTTCACATTTGTTTTTGGTTTCTTTCTTTCTTTCTTTCTTTCTTTCTTTCTGTATTTATCATTCCCACTGATGTAACTATTTCTTTTTTCTTTCATTCTTATATATTATTTTATGTTTAACGTTGTTTTTTATAGATACAAGTATTTAAGTAAATGCTCTGTTTAGGATAAACAGTATTAAATAACATTTACCGGCCTGAATGTCCGAGAAATAAAAATGTCTTTAATAAATAAATTGTCGGACTTTGTCCATTTCTTAATATATGACGTCATTTGTTTACATTTGATACGCCAGAGCAGTTATGAATGTACGAGATTCATGGAAATTGAAGTTTATAAGCAGTAAATTCGACCTTGTCTACCGAACGCTCCTTTGTGGCCGATCGGATAAGGCACGTCAGCGTAAATGACGGTTCCGTATAGGATGCAGGTTCGAATCCTGTCAAAGGACGAATATTTTCTATGAAAATTTCTCGGACATTCAGTCCAGTAAATGTTATTTAATACTGTTTATCATAAACAGAGCATTTACTTAAATACTTGTATCTATAAAAAACAACGTTAAACATAAAAATGTCTTTAATAAATAAATATATAATGAGGAAATATTATGTGGTATTAATTTAAAAGGAATGTACGCTAAGCAAGCCATTCTGCGTTTTCTATCTTTTTTTTTTACTTTCTTTCTTTTTCACATTTGGTTTGAGTTTATTTACTTTCTTTTTTTAATTTTTCATTCTTCTTTTATTTCGTTCTTTATTTTTCTTTCTTTCTTTTTTTCTTCCTTCCTTTGTTTCGTTCGTTCCTTTATGAAGTTAGCATTTTCAATGAATATCGTTTCTTTCTTTATTTCACTCTTTCTTTCTTTCTTTCTTTCTTTCTTTCTTTCTTTTTTCTTCTCTCCCATCTACATTTTTCTGCATTTCATTTTTAAATTCGAATCCTTCCTTATTCATTTCTGTTAAGCTTTCAGCTTCTATTTTCATTTAAATTTGGCATCATTCGTTCGTTTCTCTATCTATTCATGCTTTCTTTCGATTGATGCATAGATACTTTTAAAAATAGATAATAATCTTTACTTTCGTTCTTTCTAGATTTTTAGATAGATACGAATTATTTCTTTATTCATACATTTATTTATTTAGAGAGAGAAAGAGAGAGAACGCAGATAGATAAATAGATTCATTCATACATAATAATTATTTATTTATTCATTTATTTAGATAGATAGAAACAGATAGATAGACAGACAGATATGAAATCTTTCTTTCCTTATTTATATGTTTTATATATTTAGATGGATAAATACAAAATCTTTTCTTTCCTTATTTATTTAGATAGATAGATAGATAGATAGATAGATAGATAGATAGATACCAATTATTTATTTATTCATTGATTATTTATTTTTATCCACTGCGCTATGTGTACTTAAGGACACATGGCACAGTTGATAAAGTCGTTGGTTAGGACCAGTGACAGTGTCAGTTCAATACCTGGTTAAGGCAGTGGAGAACTTAGATAGGTGAATTAACAGGCGATAACTGATAACTGTCATCCATGAGACATGGCATGTGAAACTAGAACAGTTTACCCCAGAGAGAAATAAAGGAATTAGTTCACATTCCATGGTGGGCGAAATGATTCGTTGCATATAAAATATAGAACAATTTCGACCATGTCTCTGTAGTTGTATCTTTTCTGGTTTCTGTCTTTCCGACTATCAAATCTCAAATTTACTTTACTGGTATTTTTTAACCTCATTATTGTATCCCTTATTAATTTTTAACTTGCACCTATATAATAAATACCTCCTTTTATTCACCCGCCCTTCTCTTTCATGCTGATTTCATTCATTTCCTCCTTTTTCCAATGTCACTCTTCAACGGAAATACCACTCTACCTTTCTCTAATCTTTCTCTTCCATTAACCAGCCATCTTTGGTTATCGATTGTTCAACACATTCTCTCAAAAACCTTGAATTCAACCATTATGGTACATTTCAATTAGACGATCGCCACAAAACAGAGCGAATTTGTCTAGGAATTTTTATAACTCCCAAGGGGGCCACTCGTCCCCAATACTTTATCCTAATCTTCTTAGTGTTCAAATAATATACAAAAGCTGACCGTAATTTCTCAGGATACAGGCAATTGACAAATGGGGTGGGACTGAGATGTAAATGTGCGCCAGGTTGTAATAACTTCTGCTAATAAAATCGCCCACAAAAATGAGCTTAGTTTGGAAAGCTAACCTTGTAGTGGTTTTATAACCTTAAATACAATTTAACTCAACACAATATTCAGGGAGAAGAGATCTGTTAATGTCTGTACTGATATATATATGACCATGGAATATTAGTGTTTAAGCCTTTTTATTATATATATATATATATATATATATATATATATATATATATATATATATATATATATATATATATTTATATATATATATATATATATATATATATATATATATATATATATATATATATATATATATATATATATACATATATATATATATATATATATATATATATATATATATATATATATTCATACATGTTTCAATAAATAATATGGACAAGTGTTGTCTATTTATTTTATGTAATTTTTTTTCATAACGTCTGATAAGCTTAATAACATTATCATTAAACGAAGAAAGGAAATCACAATATTGATACAGATTGGATTAAAAAAAATATGTATCAATATTGTGACTTTCTTTTTTACATAAAATAAATAGACAATACTTGTCTATATTATTTAATGAAACATGTATGAATGAAAAAATGCTGTCTAAATACACACAATTTAATATATATATATATATATATATATATATATATATATATATATATTATATATTATTATTATTATTATTTATTTATTTACCTACCAATTGATTTTTTACCCCATTCTTCATTTTAATTTCATTTCGTTAAAATAAAGTTGATGAAATGAGGTATTGTGCTTAGAAATCAACGATTCAAACTACATCCACTGGGGGAGTTGTTTGTGAAAATCACAAACATCTCATTCATTTTATTTCAGTGTTTTGATAGAGTTTGTGTTAAGGGCTTTAAAGGAATCAACTCGTCTATTTTACACTTGAACTATTTTCAGAATTACTAAGCTTGAATATTTGTCCATGATTGGGAATGTCCTGGAGAATGAATAACAATTTATTTTTTCCTGTATCTATAAAATTTCAATATTAGTCAAGATTCAAATTCAGCGATTACATTATTTAGTAAGTGTATCATACACAATTTAAAGTGAAGTTTCATCTGCACAATATTTCTCCCCACCCCACAAAAATATCACTTACACACACATACATTTATTAACAAAAACTGTATCTGTAAACACGGAAAAAGTTAAGAAAATAACGTTCTGTTTTCGATTATATTTGAAATGTCTCAAATATTTTAGAATGTTCTCAAATTTAATTTTGAAAAATAGCGTGTTATTTTCTCAAATATAATTTTTTTTCTGCGTATAAAAATACAGACTTTTCTTAATAATTCCTGGATGTTTGATTAGATAACGTTCCTTCAAGAAAGAAAAGCGTTCAATATATATATATATATATATATATATATATATATATATATATATATATATATATATATATATATATATATATATATATATATATATATATATATGAACTGTTATGTAATATCAGTCCTCCTCTATGGTACTGAATGCTGAATAAGGTACTCACAGATAAGGAAGAAAAATGAAGCAACAGAAATGTGATACAGAAGGATATTGAGAATAACATGGAGAGAACATGAGAGAAAAAACGAAGTTGTCAAGACAATAGCAAGAAAAGGACACTTATAGTTAACATCAGGAAGGGACTGTTGATATATAAGGAAAAATGACTTGGAAAATGTAATATTCAAAGGACAGACTGATAGTAAGAGAGTCAGCAACGAATAACCTGCCTGGTGAGCCTTAGTAAATAGAATTCAAAGCAGGGTTTAAAGAGTTAAAAAACAAATGAATAAGGGAAAATAGGTAACTTATCATAGCCGTCGCGCTTCGTCCTCTGAGGAACTTTATCAAGGCAAAAGTTTTGATAAACTCGCTCAGAGGACACGCGTCGGCTATAAAAATTTTCCCTTATACGTTATCTGAATTTTTTTCAAAAAAACTAATGTCATTAGGAGTTATAAATGAAAGGAAATAGTGGAGTGCCATGATCTCCAACGTCCTGAAGGACACAACCCATAGAATATGAGAAAAAAGAATAAGTACATATGAATATATAAACATATGCATATGAATATACACTATAGTATATTTATTTAGTAATATACACGAACGAGCACTGAGATATATATCAATATGTGTGGGTGTGTGCGTGTGTCTGTGTGTATACATACAGGCGTTTTGCATATATATGTGTTTATGGATTTTTAAATATACACACACTCACATACACATATGTATATATGCGCGTGTGTGTGTGTGTTGATCTCTATTGATACACAATGATCATATATACCATATATATTTGTTTGTGTTTGTTATTAGGAGTATATATATATATATATATATATATATATATATATATATATATATGTGTGTGTGTGTGTGTGTGTGTGTGTGTGTGTGTGTGTGTGTGTGTGTATATTATTGCAATATATATATATATATATATATATATAGCAAGTGTATGATTCATTGCAATATATATATATATATATATATATATATATATATATATATTGCAATAAATCATACAAAAAGTAGATTAGTAAATTTAATGATATAAAATGGCGAAAACCCTTCGCAAACAACATTTTAAAGTTGCTTCAACCTACGAACCACTCGATGGATGTTATGACCCTTGTTTTTAATAGCTACAAGTAGTATAAGGTCTTTTTTTTTAATCTACAAGTACTTTCGACTGTACATTCAGTCATCAAAAAAATAAAATAATTTCCATGCCTGAAGATGACTACATATTAGCCGAAAACGTTGTTATCTACATATTATTTGGTGTCAGATTTTAGACTCTTTGCCTCGAAAAAAACACTTGCACAAATGCTAGAAAAAATGAATATTAAAGCTTAATCACACTGCCTTGTCAGTCATCTTCAATGACACTTGTATAAAAGGAATTGGTATATATATGTATGTATATATATATATATATATATATATATATATATATATATATATATATATATATATATATATACTGACTCCGCCAAAGAAATATATACTTATTTTAGGAAAGGAAAACTTGTCTTTGATAGGTGGTAGCTGTGTATTGCTGAAAACAGACTATAATAGCGGCACTTAGACAAGAAATTGAAAATGCACGTGCTGCAATCCCAATGGACACTTTGGTAGAAGCTCGCCTTACTATTAAAAGTCTTGAAGTTAAAGGCCACCATTTTGAGCATCTCGTGTGATTGTAGAATCCAAAGGTCATTTGTATTAATCTCATGATGTCCGAATAAACTGAGTATTACAATATCTACACAAATGGTTTCTTTCCTGAAGTGTATATGTATTTTTTGTGGATTATATATATATTATATATATATATATATATATATATATATATATATATATATATGTATGTATGTATGTTTTTGTGTGTTTTGGTTGGGTGTGCGCGCATCTGTATGTGCGCGCGTGTTTGTACATCGATTTTTTTTTAACTGCATGTTTAGATTGTATATTTAAATTCACATGAACACATTTTTTTCTACCAAACATAAATAAGTATACCGTTTAATAAATAAATTATTCTAACGTAAGTATCGTCTATAAGTCACGTTTAAAAAGAAAATATATATATATATATATATATATATATATATATATATATATATAAATACCAACTGTTAATTAGCTACAGTAATTCCTAGAATGAAATTAATACAAAGAGATTTCAGGAATATATTTAACTATTCATCTATTTAGACTGAAGTTTTTTTGTTTATTTTTTTGTTTTTGGGTTTTTTTTTTAGAAACTTCTAAAAAGCATTTGGTCTGAACTGATGAATATTTAAATATATTCATGAATTTATTTATAACCGAAATGGATTTTTAAGGATTATTTTTACTTATTATATACATTTCTACATTCAACACCATCACTTGATAAGACACCAGAGGTGTTGAAACAAAATGGCTATTTTGTAGTGATTTTATAATATATTTATGTTAAATTTTCGAATAAATTATATATATAAATATCTATATGCGCGCGCGTGTGTGTGTGCGTGTCTGTATTTGTGTGTGTTTGTCTTTGCTCTTGTGTAGCTGTACGTTGGCATTCAGGGATATATATATATATATATATATATATATATATATATATATATATATATATATATGCAAACACATGCACACACACGCAAAGATATACCCTCGCATAGATACACACGCGCATATACACACGTATGCACATTCATAGACATATGTTAGCATACCTTCAGACATGTATATGTATTTATACATTAATACGTATTTAAGCAGCTATATATATATATATATATATATATATATATATATATATATATATATATATATATATATATATGTATGTATGTATGTATGAACATATATCATAATGAATGTGCACATTTCTGTATATTTCTGCATATACGTATATGGTCAGTACGTGAAAGGAAGCTCCTTATTAAATTGCTACTCCTGTCTGTGTGTACCTAATCAATACATGACACTGGTCATTGTTCCCTGCTAGATGAATGACCGCTACATCTCTGTGAATTTGCATCTTGCCGCCATTTCGAAAAGTCTTCCAATTCCAAGACATTAATTTCAAGTACGCCTCTCATTGAATTCGCCATAAAAGGAAGACCGAATGCTCCAACCGAATTAGCTTCAACAGCACCCACTTCCGGCTATTAATAGATTTCCCTTGAGTGGACATCGAAAGGAGGATTCTTCACTTTGAATGTCACACTGCCTTGGTAAGGTTCGCTGCTGCCAACAGTTTAAAGATGAGCTTAACTCTGCCAAAATGTAATACAATTATTATAATTATTTTGCTATTATTACTTAAATTATTACTAGTCACTGCTTCTACTTCCATTGTTGTGACATCTTTTTCTTCTTTTTTTTTCTTAATTCTACTCATAAAATCTTTGCCTTTATTTATTTTCCCTTTTATTCTTGCTCTGCTTTTTCGTCATCTTTCTTCGTATATACCTGTTTCGTTATTGTTCGTTTTTTTCTTATTTCCCTCCATTCTATTTTTCGCTTTCTTTCTCAAAATCTATTTATATTCCTCGTATCCTGTTTTATTTATGTTTATCTATTTTCTTCGCACTTCTCTATTTTGTTCCTTCTCACCTAACACATTATTTTTAATTCTCGTCTCGTCACGTCTCTCTTTTTATTCTTCGTCACTTTTCCGATGTCGTCTGCCTAATCGACTTCTCATACCTCAATTTCATTTTTTTCTTCTTTTTTTTTTACCAGCCATTTCTCCTTCTGCTTTTCTTTGCAATTCCCTTTGTCAACGTCATTTTTTTTCTTTTTATTTTTAAATTACTGTCTTCACTTCTCGTCTTTCCACAACTGCTCTGACTTTTCCATTTTAAACTTGGCATCTTTCCTCAACTTATTTTTATTCCTCGTCAACATAACTTTTAGCGTATTATCTAAAATTCTTTTATTCCTTATTCTTTTTTTGTTCATTCCTCAATTTCTGTTTATGCCTCGTCTAACTAAATCGACTGCTTCTCTTCTTTCCTCAATTTCCACCCACTAGAATTTTTTTTGCAACACATTAACGCATCTTGAAATCCTCACAGTATTTAATATTTATTATTAATTTAGTATTTTTTATAAACACTATAGCTACCACTTTTGTCAAGGTTTTCAAACACTACGTTTCGTTCAATTTCGCAAATCAATCGATAAAATTTGAATAAGCTGATTTCTTTTGAGAAATACTTTAACAAAACAATACTTCACTAATTTCTTTAATTTACTTTTATAGTACTTCATGGCAAACATTTTTTTTTAATTATATTTTTTTTTTCTTTTTCATTTTTAACAGCGAAAAATAAATTCTTAGTGTTTCTTACTCTTGAGAATACAACATACAAATGGCCATACATACATATTTCTTTCTGGAGCCGACTTCCAAAATTTTGAAACGTTTAGCTTTGTGGTTTGTTTACAGTTCCCGCAAATGCAGGGTGAACTGGAAACTAGTATCTTGTATATAAAAACTGAAAGAAAAAAATGTGCAAAAAACGATATTGCATTTTTATTAAATAGGCATTTGTTATTTTGATCATGAAATTGTTTTTTTTTTAAATAGTGGAAATATTTAGTATATTAAATTAAAAAAAAATTATTCTCCTAAACTACGCACTCTCGTAAAAGCAATTTTATATTCCCTTACCTGTTTACCCTGCTTACAATTTCATTTCGATCGTTCAGTGTTAGCTATTTTAGAGGGTGTCACGGATCAACAGAATGACGGACGGGCTAAAGGAAGTCACGGATATTTATATATTGATTCGTCTTCTATTAACTTCATCGTTTCTTTCCACAAATTCATATTTGATACAACGTCTCCTCTTTTCTGAGGGAGCCAATCTTTCCCGTCTCCTTTATTTTATTTCTTGACTATTTTCTATTAGTTGGTGCAAAAATAATGACGTAATAATGTCGCTTTTTGACGTATTTTTTACGTCAAAAACGACATTATTACGTCATTATTTTTGCAACAACTTAATATTTCAATTTTTTTCCTCGTTTTTCCACATATCTTCTCTGTTCGTTGTTAGTCTTCTTCCGCATTATTATTATTATTATTATTATTATTATTATTATTATTATTATTATTATTATTATTATTTTTAAATTTCTGTTGAATGCACATTCCCTTCTCGATCTCAATCAGAAACCTAAGGTCAGAAATGGTTTCATGAATTTTTCCACTCATCATTTTTGTAAAAGAAAAAGCAAACAAATATCACACACATTTTCACATAGTTAATTTTCTTCGTAATGTATGAGACGTACTTGGGAGTACAATTTTTTTGTATTTCTTTAAAGCATGGGCTACCAGGAGTCTCATCAATGTGTCTATCGAAACTTTTTCAAATCAATTCGAGGGCTCCAACTATAATTAGAATTATCGATGTCCTCATGTGCCACATTTCCTAGACTTCCATTTCAAGGTCCTTGTATTTTGATAACTTTTTGCAAATCTTCAAAGATACATTAAAATCTGCAGGGGCTCCCATATTATTATTATTATTATTATTATTATTATTATTATTATTAAAAACCAAAAGGATTGACGCAACTGTTTCAATATTTTTCAACAGTTAAGAGCGCAATTTATGAAAAGAAAGAACAAAACAAAACAGTGTTTAACAATGTTAAACAATATTTTGACAGAATGTCTTCTTCAAGGTATATAATTCATATATATATATATATATATATATATATATATATATATATATATATATTATTCCATTTTTTTGTAGATGTATATATTTTATATATATTTTTAAAATCTAACTTGAAGGCGGACATTTGTTAAAATATTGTTTAACATTGTCAAACACTGATTTTCCTTACTTTTTCTTTTCTTAATTCGCTTTTCTCTTAATTATTATTATTATCATTTTCTTCTACTTTCTTTCTATCATGCTTTTCCTCAGCTCCACCAATACCACAATGATCCTATCACCATCACCATCATTATTCATCTCTTAAACACATTGTTTATTCTATTCCGACTACTTCATTACCATTAGTATTCGTATTTATATTGTCACTTGCTTACTTATTTTTTCCGACATTTTTCTTTTCTTTTTTTTCTTTGTACATTTTATATTCAAATGTTTCCATTTGTTTTGCAATATATTTTCAAATATCATTTCGAGAGAATGCATTCTATTCTTGTAAAGTGTGTGTCTGTGTGTGATTTTTTTTTGTAGTACAGCCTCACTCTTCCGACATTTTTACACCAATATCTGCCATTAAAATGTTTATGATTATTACGGCTATCGAAGCGCATTGACATTGCAGACGATCTTCAACTGCAATACGTGTCACAATACGTGGCATACTTTATGCGAACTTCATTTTAGTCATTTCTTTACTATCAACAGTTGTCGTTAAATGTCTGACAGTTTTGTAATAATCTCTTTTGAAGGTTTACGTTGATTTTACACATTTTCTTATAGTTAGTATATATTTTAAATGTGACTTATATCTGCTCGAATTTCAAACTGGGCTACACTTCCTAAAGAAATATTTGAGTCCTATATTATTTGTTTCGCTTTTGCTTATTTGCATTTTTAATCATTTCACCCCAAGAAAGACAATAAAGCCCCTAAGCTTTATTGTCTTTCAAGGGTTTACTGAGTGTGAGAGAATAGGATAAAAATTGTTAAAGAGAGAGAAGAATAAAAGTACATGAATTACGTAGATAAGAGATAACGATTGATATTGCATTCACATCTTAGAAGATCAAACTTGTCTTGGAAACAAAAGCCGGAGATGAGTTCCACAAGCGAGACGTCTGAGAGAAGAAACTGACAGAAGTTATTGTTACATCTTGCCATTTCATCTGTAAAATGATGAGACCAAATCGCCAATCTAGTACTACGCTTAGATTCATATCGTCTAATTTGTCATAATTGTGTCATGAATAATTTCCGTTTTTTCATCAGGTTTATTCTTCAAAAAATAAAGTGTAATTATATTTTATTTAATTATATATTCATCATTATTTGGAGTAACTGATTACCACTTATGAAACAGTGGTTGTTGATGTGAACATTTTTGATAAATTCTTAAATCTGTTTTCTTTTCCGGCAAAGCGTTTTTCAGCGATCGGAAAGAAAAGCAAAAAATTGTCGGTGCAATGTGGCGGGTAGGTAAAGCAAACCAACCGAGTTCCATATTCTTGTTTCTGTTTTTTTTTTCCTATTTTTTTTTTTTTATTTTTCCTTTTTTTGCGGGTGTGGCTTTGCGTTACCCAATGAGTACACAGATACTGTCATGTCAAAACTAAGGTATGTGAGTATATTCCTAATTTATTCTCAACTTATATATATCATTAGTAATTAGGATGAGATATTCATCGTTAGAGTTGGTTTCCAAAAACTTGACTCTGCACAATAATTATGTTAAATGGAAGAGCTAAAAAGATATCTTTTTTTACTACTAAATAAAGTTTTATGTTAATTTTGAACTAGGAATGAAACAGAAAAAACAAATTTAAAAATTTTAGCAAAACCTAGAAATTAAAAAGTGATGAATTTTCGCTTATTCTTTCAGTAAAACTTATGGGTAAGACTAACATTATAAATAATGAATTTTATGGCTAAGACTAACATTTTAAATAACCAATTTTATGGCTAAGACTAACATTTTAAATAACCAATTTTATGGCTAAGACTAACATTTTAAATAACCAATTTTATGGCTAAGACTAACATTTTAAATAACCAATTTTATGGCTAAGACTAAAATTTTAAATAACCAATTTTATGCCCACACAAGATAATGAAGATGAAAAATGGAAAAGGCCTTTTATTTTTTCAAAACAAAAATCTTGTTTTGTTGATTGGTTAAAGCTTATCAACCTTTTACTTATTATTTTAAACCAGATATTAATTTCAGATTGTAAGGATTTTTTAGTGTGTGTGTGTGTGGGGGGGATAATGATTTTTAGTGATACATGTACTATTAATTAGCCCATTGATGACGAGGAAAAGGTAGATTCATATGTTTTAAAAGGGCATTTGTGCGTAAGTGAATAAAAGGAACAGAACTTTAATTGGAACTCGGAGAGCCAGGTTCCAATTCTTAGGTGTTATCCACTACACCACCAGCACATCAAAGCTTGCAGCTATATTATTCCCAAGCGGTCAACCATCTAAGTATTGACCAGGCTAAACGTCGCCTAACAGAATTAGAATGTCAAACGTACACAAAAATGCTAAAGGGAAAATATATTAAGCGAAATATGAAAATAATTTTTAATATCCAGGATCTCATAATAACATTTGGAGAGTAAAAGAGAAAGATAATAATAATTTTCCTTCTCAAAAAATATATTGAACAGAATAAAAAAGAAACGAGAAATATATAAAGAAAAAAAGAAATGAAAATGAAGTAAAGCGAAAAATCTGTGAAAGAAGTCTTCTAAGGAGAGAAGGAAAACTGAAATGATAACTTTCTTTCCTGTACAATACATGAAAGAGAAAAATGAAAGAAAGAAAAAAGAAAAGAAGAAAGAAATAAGGCGAACGAGTTGTGAAAGAATCTTCTGGAGAGAGAAGGAAAAACTGAAATGATGACTTTTATTTGCATAAAAGAATGCATTACAGAGAAGGAAGGAGGAAAGAGAAAAATAATAGGAAGAAAGAAATAAATCAAAATATTTGCGAAAGAAATTTTCTGGGGAGAGAAGGAGCATTGAAGTGATAAATTTCATTCGCATAAAAGTGAATGCCTTAAAGAGAAAGGAAGAAAGAAAA